AATGCCAAGTGAAACCAAGTCCTTCTGCACCTGGTCTTTCCAACGCAGAGGAGGAATTTCTCTTCCTATTTTACCAGCAGAGAAAGATTCTGCGAAAAATTTACGGGCCATATTATAAATAGAGTCCGATCGATTAATCGGCCGATGCCGAGGCTAGCATNATTTTACCAGCAGAGAAAGATTCTGCGAAAAATTTACGGGCCATATTATAAATAGAGTCCGATCGATTAATCGGCCGATGCCGAGGCTAGCATCGGCCAAAAGAATCGGTTTCGGCCGTGTTTGGGCGATCCTTGAACAAGTTAATGTTATTTATGGTGATTTCGTTTCTACCAAAAACGGTTGCCCTAGCACGGTGCAAAATGTGTTTGCTGTTACACTCAACCCTCTCAAAGGGCATGTTTTTGACCTCTTGTCCTTGTCCAGCTAACGCATTTCATAATATTATCGTTTTAAGCAGTTATCTGATTTTCAGGGCAACCTTCTCCCCTGAAAAAATTTCAAAAGGCAAAAAATGTGCCTCTTTTGCTTTACAAGAGTGTGACATTTTAAGAAACGAACACAAACTTTTCTCACCGAATGCCCTTGTTTTACCGAAATGCAAAATTGTTTGGTAGAAACGAAAACACATTAATTATTTGATTATGTTTTTCTTTTATTATAAAAATTATAAAAGCATTTGTTCTTGAAATGAAAGAACCGGCCGATTAAATCCTGAATATAAATTAATTTCAAGAACAAATCCTTTCATAAACTTGTATAATAACAAAAGAACAACAAAATAAAATAACTAAATAACATTACCTTATTCAAGAATCGGTCAAAAACGGCCGAAGCCGATTCTTTTGGTCAATACTAGCCCCCGGCATCGGCCAATTAATCGGTCGGACTCTAATTATAAATGCAACTTCGGGCTTACTGCAAGAGGCTAATGTTGGTCCTCTTGCTACTCTTGCTCTTCTTAAATGACTCCTCCACGGTTCAAGTGGTTACGGTGCATAGATTTTGCTGATAGTGTAAAACTTTTTAAACTTATAAAAGACAATACGGACTATCAAAACTTTCAACGTGACTTAGATGCGATAAAAGAATAGTGCAGGTTGGTGGCTTAAAAGCCCGATCTGGCTGGTTTAAACTAAGATCAGCTTTTCAAATTAAACTCAGTTTTCTTATTCTAAGTATGAACCGGCACTGAAAAACTAGCCCTTAGGGATCATCTTTGATAGCAAACTAACATTCTCACCACATGTTGACTAAATTGTTAGCAAAGGATATTTAATTTTTGGGTTTATAAAACGCGCTCAATGAAATGTACTATCCTTATAGTAGCCCTACTGGAACATCCGATTTCGCTTTAAAGTATGCCGCCTTACTAATCAAGAAGGGCATTGCTGAGACTGGGAGCACTGTCGGACAGGAAATTCTTCTTGTCTATTATGTTTGCATTTGCTTTGCAATACAACCTTACCATACTAACTGCATCGACCAACTTAGCTTCAAGTTCCGAATTTCGCTTATATAAAGCATTTGATCCCTTTGTAAATTATTTGCGGCCCTGAAAAGGGCCCTTTATGTATACAAACACTTGTACACTTGCTGCTGGGCTTCCTTGTCAGGATCTGGCATTTCCGCAGCAGGCTTGAAAATTGTCGGCACAACGCCCCGCTTTAGTTTACGCTTTTTAGCGTAGCCTAACACAATTTAAAACATTTCTTTTAATAAAAAGCAGTATTAATGAAAAGTGAAAAATATAAGCTTCCGGGGGGTTTCATATTTACGATGAGCGCGGCTACCTTTCGTGAAATTTACTCCTGAGTCACACCATCCTCACGAAATCCAATAAGCGTTTATTGGCGAATTAAATAGTACAACTTACCCATTTTATATTGAAGCTCGTTCTCGAAGTCATCAGTGGTGAAGTGTTTTACACAGATGACGCTGGTTCGGGCGTTGAAAATCGTTGGTCTCCGGCAGAAGTGGATCCACTTTTCCACCAACTCAATGTCGGCCGGAAAAGTAAAAAAAGCGCACCCAGATCCTTTGGCACTTACACTAGCACAATTAACCACTGCACACCTCATTTTTTTCTTTAATTTATAACTTTTTTTATCAGTTTTCACAAAAAACAAAACAACGCTCAAAGTCTTCCGAATTTGTAAATTTGTAAAGTTGAAATAACCTAAAACGTCACGAACCAGAAAATGTAAACAAAAGAATTGTGTGACGTCAGCGAATGGGTGGATGCTGTCAAATCGACGAAGAGAGGGTTAGCGGTCCGCGAATGGCGCGACCTTTATTTTCTGGATCGTGGCTAGTAACACCACCTTATATAAATTCGCCTTGTATCTAGTTATCCATGGCTGTGATTCCCTGCCATTAAGCACACGATACAGCTGAGTGTTAACAAAAATATTAAAAAATTCGGGAATAATGTATTTGACGTATAAGTTTCTTGGTTTTGTATGGTTATTCTCCCTGCTGATCAGAGGAAATGAGGATTCTAGGAAACCTATAGAGAATAGCGAAAGTAAAGAGGTTGGCGCAAACAATTCGTTATTAACAGCTAGTGTTTGTAAGTACATATTTATGTATGTACAATGAGTGAATATCATATTTATTTTTGCTATATCTTTTAGATGCAAAGTTGTTTGCTGAACGCCGAAGAGAGCATCAATTAATGATTAGGAGCATGTTGGCATCGGAAAACTACGAAAAGAACTTCAAACTATTACAAATAGCCTATAGGAAAATATTTGAAGTATTAATTGCTAAAGTTTAAAATGTTTAACTAGTACAATGACGGTAGTATAATGTCGAACAGGTAATAACAGAGAAGAATGCCACACTGACTTCCAATGGTTATAACGCGTCGCGCGAGGGATTTCCCCAGAGTAGTGAACTACAAGATGCCGTCACATTCACTTTGGAAAATTGCTGCATTGCCGCTGAAAGTTTGCTACATTTTCCAGAAATAAGTCGCCGGATATTTGGTAAGAATATATCACTTTGGAAATCAACGCTGACTTGGTGCAACGAATTTGTGAACTCTCTGACGCATCTGGTTGATGAAACGACAATAACATTGATGGATCTTTTGCTTCAAGAAATAAATGAAGATCGACGTACGTCTAACTATGTGAATCCCTACTATGAGGCATCTGGAAAACAAGCCCCAAAGAAATTAAAGAAACAATATAAAAAACTAAAAAAGGGGCCATATTTGGGCGGACGTAGAACCGAGTTATAAGTTTTTGTTTTCATTTTTTATATTTATGTATAAATTCTAAGCTATGATTAAAAAAAAAAAAAAAAACGAATTCAACGATTGTCTGTATTTGGCGCAATTTTTTGCTGCAGCAACTTTCCATAACCTCCTCGGCCGGCATCGTAGTCTGTCCGATATTCGTCGCGTACTTGGCCACCAGTTTTGCCACGACCATACTGCCGTCCTTCTATAAAGCCAGCATCCCAGTCAACACGGATGAGGCGATCATCTAAACGAGTTCCGTTGACGTATCTAATGCGAAAACGTTGGTAACAATGCGTTTTAGTTGCATTTACCTTCCTTACCTCATTGCCATTTCTGCATCAGTCCGCATATAGTATTCGACAAAACAAAATCCACAAGGAGTTTTCTTGTATTTATCTAAACCCATTACAATACGACGTACTTCTCCGCAACGTGAAAATAATTCATGAATTTGCTCCTCTGTTGTATAAAATGAAAGATTTCCCACATATAATGTGCAAGATTCACGCAGCGAGCGCTCTTGATCCGTGCGCGAGCCCTGAAAGTTTGCGAAGATTATAACCCGCAAGTTAGACAAAATTTTATTTCAAAAGTTTACCTTGAAGTGTTGATCTCGATATGAACTCAAATCTACTGACCCCGCCGACATATTTAATGGTTTAAATAAATATTAAATATTTAATGAAAAATTTATTTGTTTACGATCGTACAAAAGCGGCTTCGAGAAAACAAATGTCAATTCTGCAAATAAACGTCAAACGTGTAAATCAAGGCGAATTTATACAAGGTGGTGTTTAAGGCGAATTTCGATTTTCGCCGCGGTATCACCATTGTCAAAATGATGTGTTTGTTGTAAACAAAGCGAATTCATATTACAACAAACACATCATTTTGACATTCAGAATTACCGCGGCGAAAATATAGATTCGCCAGTAACGCCACCTCAGAGAACGTACGATCTCTGTTTTGCCGTGACTCATTCACAATAAAGTAGTGTCCGTGTAAGCAATTTAAATTCGCCTTGGTTAAGCAACCTGAATTAATTAAAAAAAAAAATAAGGCATAAAAACTAGCGAATAAAATGTGAAATATGTTCGTGTTCTCTGTTGGAGATTGTTAAGTATATAATTATTTATAAATTTAATCCTACGACACCAACAGGGTATCAATCGTGTCCCAAATAGAAATGGAATTTCACCTGAAATAAAGGACAAAGCAAGTTTCAAAAATAAAATTGATAGAAATTCCTGGAAATTCCGAAGATTTAGATATACTAATGGAAATAATTTAAATATAAATACATACATGAAAAATAATGAGAAGAAAGTGAATTGCTATCACTGGGAGATTAACAATGTTCAGCGGAATGGAAGACAGATTAGAATTGACGGCAACACCAGAAGCCAAATATCAAAAGTTGGCTAGCGAATACTCAAAAGTACGCCCCTTGAACATTTTGACGGATGATCAACACAATACATTAACATTATTATTTCTTTGAAGCTACGAGCGCGTGCTAGTGTACTCAGAAAAGCGGTTTTAGATGAACAGTCAAAGGGAGACGGCTTACGGGAACAATTGCGGCATAGTGAAACGTCACTTCGACGGGCGGAGCAAGAAGTGGACTCTTTGGGTTTTCGAAACAGGCAGTTAGAACATAGAGTAGCAGTTTTGCAAGATGAAATCGCAACGCATGAAGGGCGCAATAAACGCGATAAAGCTAGTAAGGGCGAACCATTGCAGTCAGCAGAAGGAAGAGTTACTGGAGCTGTTGGAGACTTGGCACAGGATGCTCTGATTTTCGAAGAACTTCAAAAGAAAATAATGGAAAACGCAGAACTAACCACAATGGTTTGGGATAATGAATTTTTATTGTACATAAGCTTTAAAGTCCCCTTTTTAATTTAAGATTGATGACAAAGAGCGAGATCTGCAAATTCATAACGAACGCATTGCTAGTTTGGAACAAATGCTAGATAAGCGTGTTGCTGAATTCACAGAGACAGAAAAACGATTACGTCGTGAAATGGAAACGCTAGAAAAAA